TTTTCTAAGATGAATAAAGTTGAAAAATTTTTTACTTTGAATAAAATATATAATAGTACTTAAGTGTGTCAATATGGAAAAACCTAAAAGCAAGTTGATAGGTTCAAAATGCATCACTTAGAAAAATTTGCCTTATATGATAACTGAATGAGAACTCTTTCTTTGGGTCTTAAAAAAAAGAAATCAAAAAGGGCTGTTTGCATTCTTTGTCAAAGTGAAGTCTACATTCTACTTGGGTACTTCTGTGTACGAAAAAGGGGCCATATGTACTGAACCCAACAAGCTCTGGGAATGCCAGCATGGTGGGCCCTACAAACTAAGAGACCAAAATTAACCACACTGGATGGTCCGAACAAAAAATTCCTTAACTGAAAGCGGGTCATGACGGGTAGTCACAGGTCAATCTTTGCCTTAAGAGAGCCTATCTGTTGTCTTTGTGCATCTAAGATAACACAGCCTTGGAATGTCATAATAATCCCTTTTTCCAGACCCCTCAGGGTACACGCCCTCAGCACCAGAGGAGACCATAGAATCCCTCATTGTTATCCTGTTCCCCAAATACCATCTCTATGTGCTGTAAATGTTAATTGTTAAATATCCTGTATCCACCAATATAAAAGAAGTATGTGTCTCTCCGTTTTACTTTATATCCAATCCCAGAGATTTCCTGGCTTTGCTTTATCCCACCTCCTTAATCTACCACCAATGGATTTCACGTAACCCTCCTTGCGTCCCCTCCTTTGATTCTAATGTATAAATAAGTTTCAAAAGTGCCATTCTTCAGAGCATTTTCTTAATCTGTTGAGATTCTGCTTCTCCAATTGTGGTCAGTTTGGCTCAAATAAACTAATAAAAGTCCTCTACAGGTTTGGACTTTTCTTATGTCAACACTCATTGAAAAAAAAAAAAAAAAACAACAATTCCTAACCATGCTATTCCTTCATAAACTTTCCAGATTAAAAATTATTTTCTTTTCTTTTGAGACGAGACTAAGTCTGAAAGCTTATTTGTGCTAATGTGCGTGAGAGAAGGAAGACGCTACTGAGCCACGCGGTTACTGAGAGCCTCACCTGAGCAATGGACTCTTCCTTCAAATGAGCTCGCGATCCACATGCAATGGCCATTTGATCCTGAGGAAACAGGCAATTAAAATTCTTCAATATTTAAACATCACTAATAAAATATTTACTTTCAATGTGAATATCTTATTTTTTAGAAACTGGTTTTTTTAAAAAGTAACATTAAATATCTAGAGCTTTATTGAGTAGTTCAGAATATGTACAGTCAAGAAGCCCAACTGTATTTGGAGGATATTATTCAGTGCTACATATAAGGGGCACATATTACTTCAAAATTCATGTATTTAAATTATTTTTCTAATTAAAATACTATATTAATACAATTATAAATAAAAATAGTAGTATCAGAAAGAAAAGAGTTATCTGTAGATGGTATGGTTTTATATATAATCATTACATTTGGAAAAATCNTCAGAGCAAACTCACTGTTTCTAGGACATATCCCAGAGCTCGACGTGTTTTTTCTCACTTTGCTGACTGGCGCTATCTTCTCTTCTCTCACCTCTTTCACCATACAATATCAGAGGGGAAGAACATGGATGCTAGGGTTAAACTAAACTACTCTGAATCTGGATTTACTAGCTGTATGACCTTGAGTAAGTTACTCTACCTGTCTCTCCTCGACCTCCTCATCTAGGCCCTAACTCATGAGACAATGTGAGGAGGATTAAATGTGATAATTATGATTAAGTGGTTCATTTACTGTCCAGGTCAAAATAATCCATAAGCAAGTGGAAGCTAGCATTCACCATCGTTGGAGGCCTGGCTTCAGCAATATCTCTTACGAAGTCGGCTACTTCATGTGCCTGAGACTGCTGGTTACTTGCCCCAGCACCTATTCTTTCCTTCTTCACTACTAACAGAACTCTGATTTGGTCGGGAATGAATGTTAGAATAAACATTTTTCAGCCTCCCTGGAAATAGGGGTGGCCCTGTGCCACTGTTCTAGCCAGTGAGATTTAAGTAAGTTAAGCCACTGGGTGGAGTTTCTAGGAAAGCTTATTAAAAGGGAGCAAACCAGCTGACATGCATCTTTCGCCCTTTGCCCATCTTCCTGCCTGGAATGTGGTTAGTGCTCCAGGGCATCTTGTGTGCATGAAGAAAAGAGAGGGAAAGGTAAGAGGTGGGTTTCTGATGACACCACGGAGTTGCTGAACAAGTCTTGGACTGTCTATATCTAGACTTCTTTTGAGGAAGGGGGGGAAAATAACTAAATAAAACTGTAAGTCATTTAGGGCACTATTATTTGGATTTTCTTCCACATATCTTGACTTTTAGTCTTTTTGTTAGCGTATCTTGATTCCTATGTGATATGCCTCAGCTGAAAATAACCTCTTCTTTCTTGCAATTTCTATAGCACTTCATCTGTATCTCTCTAAGTACAATCACCTTTTCTATTAGACTGTAAATTTCATCAGGGCAGACCCACATCAGGTTGATCTTAGTTCATGCTACCATGCTTAGCACAGTGCCTTCATAAAGGTAAAATTTTATATACAAAGCATTTTGCAAATTGCAAAAAAAAATGTTATTATTCTATCAAAGACACATAGATATAAATGGTAACATTTTAAACTTTGATTAAGATAAACATATTTCTCCATATCACCTAGTATGTTATAGATATGGCATATTTTCAGATTTGATCAAATACACATATATGTATGAAGTTCTTATTAAAAGTAATTTCCCACTAACTTAAAATTCAACTAGTCAGCTGCAAAATACACATAGTCTGTGAGACGTTATTCAAAATATCTTTATGTTTTAGATAAAAATATTGAAACTGTATTACCATCCTAACAGCTCCGCCTTTCCCACGATTCTTCACCAGTGTTATCACTCGTACTTTGTCACTTCCATATTTCTGGCAATATTTAAAAGCTACCTGTCAAATTATATAAAAGTGAGAAAAAAACTTATTGGATTTCAAGACAGTAATTTAAAGTGGGTTTCTCATTTTGGATTAAACACTGCTTGCTATTCCAGTTGCCCTCTTACTGTGACTCGATTTATACCCCCTGTGCATTTTGGTGGCCTGGGGAATTGCTGAATTCCTGATGCCGAGATCTGACGTTGACCTACAAGGTTGAAGTTAGAATTCATTTTCCTACAGAGGAAGCAGTAGAACAGTCAGCGGCCGTCCCTTGTTGTCTCAGCTCCTATACCTAAGCTATTGAGCTGCTAGAAAAAATAAAATCCACTTGCTAATGGACTAGTGCACACTTGTGACTGGGGCCTCCAATAGTGCTTAAGAACTTGTTTACTTGTTAGCAACTGATCTTATTCCCCAAAGAGGTTGCTTGTATCTGGACCATTTCCCCTACATCTCACTCTAATTCCTTTCTCAACAGATACCCCACGCTGTAACTTGTTCTCTTCTGAATCTTCGATCCTTTTCTCTCCGCTGGCTCCACAGCCTTAAAAGTGCTCAAGACTCCAGCATACTAAAAATTTTCCTTTGACTTCACTATTATCTTAAGCAACTACCATTATTCTTTGATTTATAATAAAAGTCATGACACAGTGACCATAGTTGCTATCTACAGCTCTTCCTCGCTTAGTCTTCAAGCCATTTTACAACAGCGTCTCCATATTGCCTCTCTACTTAACTCATCTTCAGCACCCTCCTTTTGGCACGCACTTCCATGGGCAATTGTGAAGTCTTTCTCATTTGGTGTTTGCCCTCCTGTCAGGCCAGTTTAAGACATAACTCAAACATTTGCCTTCTTGGCTTTCATGCCCACCCTAATATTCCTCCAGGAAAAAGGAAAGTATAAGTCTAATAATATGTTCTCTTAAGGCATTTTCCCATTCAACTGTTATATCACTCATTACATAATGTAACTGCAGACCTTCCTCACTAGGTGGCGAGCTACTTAAAGGCAAAGATTACTACTTCTAGTGCCTGACACGTCGTCTACAATTGATTAATCTCAATGAACAAGTGTAGCCATAGTGCTCTGTACCTACTCCTATCATAGCACTGTGGTAGGTAGGCACGGTTAGCTGCATACCCTCCTTTTCCATTGCTATCATGGCCCCAGTCTTACCTATATGACAGTGTGTGCGCCCCTGGGACATGAATCATGATTGCTTTAAATCCTCTTTGCCAAGTACTTTCCCAGCCCCCTTGCAGGCCTGGGTGGTCATGCCACCAAGCTCTGGCTCAGGAACTCTAGGAGGTCTGCTGGAGGGGAAGGTTTCTGGTAAAGGTTTGTATTCCCAGTTAAAAAGAAAAGAGGCACTCAAAGATAATTCTTAATGTCCTGGCTGTCTCTTCACTGCTTCAGGACACGTGACATTTGGAGCTGTGGCAATTTTGTGATGAGGGAGCATGTGAGAATTAAAAAACTGCCTTTCCCCAGCTGAGCTGATGCTGCATCTATAATCTCAGCAGCAGGTGCCTAAGGTTGAGTTTCGATGCCCTTCCCTCCATATATTAATAAGTTCTTGGAACAGTCTGTGTTCCTGTCATATTCACTATTCAAAGTACAGCACTTACTCTTCTTAAAACAGATCTTACAACACTTTCTGGCCTCTATGCCTTTGTTTACACAATTTTTTCAATCTGAATATACTATTTTCCATGTTCATAGTCATAAACATGCTTAAGGGTTTAGGTCAAAAGTCACTTCTCTTNTTTGTTGCAATTAAAAATAAGATCAGCTGAGAAGAAAAAAACCAGAATCCATTGAAGAACATACAGCAGAGCCTGTCAAAACAATATTGTGAAAGGCATTTAAGTTAACTACTGCCATCTAGTGACTCAATCAGTCTTTCTGGGACTTGACTACTTTGAATCCCATGTTCCGGTTTCACTCTTTTCTGAACTATTCTAGTCATATTGTTACTAGGGTTTAAGGGAATACATGCAAAGCATCCTTATCAAATTTGTGGCTTAAATGAATTGAGAAGGAAACAATTGCATTGAGACAGAATAAGAGCCTACACCTTGAAAAACTGAAATTGAACATGCTGACATCTAATAGGCGTAAGAGTCACATTTCTGTTCCTAAATAAAGCAAAGCAAAAGAAATACAGAAACAAAACAACATCTACACCAGTATAAGGATAGGGGGACAAGGTTCAATGGCAATGGATACGGAAAAGAGCTGGCCAAATGAGGCAACAATGTAACGTGGTAACCAGGTCCACACTAACGGAAGCATCTTCAGTGGAAAATGACCAGAATGATAAGAAAAAGAAATACACTTTTTAAAAACTGGAAGTACTACTGACAGCCTAAAATAGAGAAGACAAATGGAAAACAGCTTTAACACTTTGAAGGGTTGTCAAAAAGAACTGTGAGACCTAGCAATTCTTCTTGCTTCTGCTGAAATCCTTGGATGCCATGTGATGGTAAATGGGTGTATTGTTTGATGTTGTCCAAGGGTGTTTCCTCAGTCTCCATTTGATTCTTTCCAGATTGGAGTATTTGGTAAAAAGATCAGAATTTGGTAAATTCATCTTCTTCCTCTAAATGGGTTTCAAAAGGTGGGAGTGACACCAGGAGTTTCTTCCTTTCCTCAACCTCCATTTTTTTTTGTTTTAAACATGAATGTGGATACTGGCTTTATTAGTAATTGCAAAATGCTGGCTTTATTAGTAATTGCCAAATGTCCCTCAACAGCTGAATAAATAAACAAGCACCCATACAATGGAATATTACTGAGCAATGAACTTAAGGATCAATCACTGATCTACACAACAATATTGATGAATCTCAAATGCATTATGCTGAGTGAAAGTCAACCTTTACTTTATGAAGTTGCACATAATCTTTTTTGAGTGATTGCTACTTTGTTTCATCAAAAATAAAATTCTGTGATCCAGTTTCATTTCATATCTTTACCTGGAAGTCTCAGTCTATGCTTTTAAATAAGCCTTTGATGAATATGCATGATAAATATAAATTAAGCAATTAAAAATCAAGAGATGCTCAGAATATTAAATAAGTAATTGTCAAGTGAACCTCAGAAAATCAGTGAATGTTTATAATAAAATGACTAGCTCTTCTGGGGGCCTGTATACAGGAATTTTACACCCAAAACTCCCCTAGTTTTTTAACTTACAGGTAAGCTCCATTTTCATTTTACTTTAGAATCCCTGTATTCTTGATTATCACTTAAACTATACTCTTATACTCACAGGCCAAGGCTGTAGATCATTCAGTCCCTTTTCTAATTTCTCAACATCTGGAAACTTTGTGGCTCCATCAGCATCTGCCATAAGGATCTTTTCTCCTCGAGAACTGAATATTCCCTGCATTTAAAAATTTCAATTAAAAGAAGTTGCTTAAAATTAAGGTTAAATTCAATGACATATCAGTCTGTTCTGCTCTACTTAAGATATCTAAGAGTGAAATAATTAGGTGTGAAATGGCAGGAGGAGGCCAAAGTTCACTGAAAACAAATTACATTGATAAAATCTTTCAAAACATATCTAATGTCTATTTCATGATTTTAAAAACTGTGAGGTCATACTACTAATGAAATACCAAGATAAGAAAATAGATTTAGACAAATTAAAGATATTCTGCATCAATAAGATTAAAAAAGTAAAACACCGATCATATACAGTATATATGAACTATATGTGTATTATGGTGCTTAAAGGGATCAGGAGCTGCTTAGAGCAGCATATAAAGAACATATTTATGAACAGACTGAACAGATATAATATTACGTAAATTTGCTGTGAAATGCATCATAACATGATAGATGATTTCGTATTCTTTACTATGGAATCTATAATATTTTAAATTAATTGTTGAATAAAGAAGTATGGAATGTCAGTAAAATTTAAGAAGTACGGATGTATCCAAATGCTATTTCATGCTGTTTGAGGAATCTGACACTCAGCAAAATTATGGTACTCTTTTGTGCAAAATTGGCTCTATGAATGCCGATTTCACACAGAAATAAACTATATATCAACTCAATTTCATGGTGCATTTGAGTGAATTCACTGTTTCTTAAGTGTAAACATATTTATGGTTTGATTCAGTAAAATACAGCTTTGATATCACATAGGAGTATGTATATAGATAAGATACACACAAATCCAGACAGAAATTTGATCGTTTATTCTATGTTCTAATCCATTAATTAGTATCTATGATGTTTATCATACCCATTCGAATATGGACAAATAAAACAGAAATAAAAATGTTATATTTAATACCTGAACGACATACATGAAGTTTTAGCAAAGAGAAAACATTACAAGTTATAAAACCTGTAGCTATAAACTTGAAATGAAATAAATAAAAATAAAGGACTATTTCAATGATACCTAATAAAGGTGAACTGGAGGTTATTATTTAGTATTAATGGAAATTGCCTTTGGCGCTCTAACTGGTTTGAGGTGCTTCATCTATTTTTTTTTGTTTGTTTTTAAAAGGGGATTCTTTAATGCCTGCCACTCTCTCATGTTACCACTGCTGACTTCCACTTCACTGCTAGTCGGTCATTCCCTATGCCCTCTGACTGCTCTGCTTTTTCTTCCTCATGTGCCTCATTTCCCCAAGGCTTGGCTCCTGGCTCTTCTTCGTTATTCCCTCTTCCTTACCAACTTAATGAATTCGATTATCATCTGACATATGTGGATGACTCACTCATCTCCTCTCACCCAGGCTCTTCTGGATACCTCTACTTGACACCTCAAATTTAATATGGCTCCAACTCAACTCAACATCTTGTCTCTTAAACCAGCTCCTCTGCCAGTGGTACCCTAGGTCCTTGATTACTAATTCCTCTCCCCCATCATCTGATCCAATTTTGTCTCATTTTAAATACCTCTGACATTTACCCTCCTCTCTTCTTTTGTGTCACTACCATAATCCAAATAATAATACTCACTACATATTCCCTAAACTACTACATTGGCGACTGTCGCTCCGTCAATGGTAAAAGTCTAACAGCCCCTACCTAGCCTAAAGTTCATGATCGGAACCCACCTACCCTTCTGGCCTTATCTCTAAAGTCAAGCCACAAGTACCACTAGCAGTTCCTTTACTGTGCCTTTGGTCCCGTTCTTCCTCTGCAAGCTCCCTGCCTCAGCTTTTGCCTGAATAATTCCTAATCTTCCTTGAAGATGGAGGACTGCATTCCAAATTTACCTTCTGAGGGAATCTTTGCTGCTCCTCCCAGGCAGAGGGTAGTGCCAACGTTTTGCATATACTTTTGTTACAGCATTTACAACAATGGTAAGCT